GAAGCAGATGACCTTTAGTGTGTTTGTGGTAAAATCATATGCTCCGAAGACATAGCCTTGGTTTTCCCACCACACATATCCAAACACTCTATTGTCAACAACAACAAAAAAATCTCACTTTCTATAAAATTTAATTTAATGCATATCAGGGATTCACAATCAGTTTGACCTCTGAAGTAGCAAAGTCAACTTTTAAGGTGAAATTTAAAATAATTAGGTTGATGTGATGAACAAATTCAGTGTGAATAAGGATACAACACGTAGAGTAAAATATATTCTCAAAAAAGCTCTTTGCATCATTTCTTTTCAAAATCCAGGTATGGACTTATGAGACAGTTGTTGAACTGTCTGTAGCATTTGGTAGCATGCAGGAGGTGACCTAGTTAATCCCCAGCACTACATGGTCCCCTAAGCACCATTGTACATCAGTGATGAACACCAAGCTGGAAGTAGCCCTCAACATTTCTGGGTATGTTCCAATATTATTTTAAAATCCAGATATAGAATATTTTTGTGTCGCATTTACATTTGAATGTGGACAATAACATTAAATACGTATATTAAACAATAAATTTTAAACCATTGTGTTAAACATATTAATCAGGTGAACAATACATTCAGATGTAATTATACAATATAAAGATAATTAAAGTACACAATAAAGAAATATAGCCCTCTTAGAGATGAAAAATATCACTGTAGTACCTTTAAAGTATACTGATCTGACTAGCTCTAATACTGTGTGAATCTACAACAAAATGTAGTTTAATTAAAGATGAAAGGGTATTGTATCTTTTATTGTAAAATTTATGGACCATAAAGATTAAATGTAATTAGGTTGATGTTATGCAATATTGTTGTTCACAAATAATACAATCAAAATCTAAATTCTAAAAATCTCAGGAAATTATATTAGAAGATAATGTTCAGTTTCTTCCAAACTAATTTTAGTTGTTTTTATCATTTTCCCCTAGCATATAAATTCACTACTATTAAGCAACACGACTTGAAAACCCCTTTAACATAATGCACATAATGAGATTTATTTGAGATTTGTTACCCTTTTCTGGAAGAGCTGATTATTTTTCATGAGATGGAAAAAATGTTACATGACAACTGTTGCTTCAAATGACTAATTGTTAACTAGCAATCCAGATTAAAGAACAAGTGAAAATAACTGGGTATTTTTTATTTATAATTCAATTTTATAATTCCTATATAGATAGTATACCTAAGTGATGATTGATGTCAAATTAAATCAAAGTTTTGAAATTCAATTTACATCCTATTACTATTTTATTCTACATTTTTAAAAATTTCTAAATGTAAAAATGATTGAATATATTTTCACCATTTTCTTAACAGAAAAAATGAAATAGTTTAACGAGACAAAGTAGGCAGTAAGAAGATGAAAATATGAAAAATTAACATATTTTTAGGTTCATGAGTTTTAAGGATTTGCATTTTCTACCAAACTTCCCAGAATCTTTTTATCCTATAACTCTGAATTTTTTATCTTATTGAAAAATATAGGCCCAAACTTCTCTGCAGCACAAAAACAAAATATTTTCAGATGCGCCTTTGGCAATCCTGGTATATAGACCTTTTCCAATGGAAAATCATAATGACATAATTTGAACGTACCAAATCATCACCAACCTATTTCACATAATGTATAATCACAAAGAGGCATCTCACATGCACAAACAGCCAGGGCATTTGGTCCATAAGCCATATGGTCCACTAAAATCCTGAAAAACATTACTGCAATTAGGACATATGCTTGGCAAAGCCTTGGATCACCCGCTGAGCCCTACTTCCTCCAGGAAGTTTCAGCTTGGTGAGAAAATGCATCCTTCCAAGAGCAATGGTTCCCTGTGGGCCTTCGTAGAGTCCAGAGAGTGTGGTTCCCTTATGTTTCAGCTGATCCATGCAGTCACCATGCAGCACATGTTGTGAGTGGACAATGTGTCTGGACCCACCTGCCATCTTCCCGCAGGTTGTTCTTTGGTGTCCTTTAAAACTTCCCTCTCTACAGCACTTTGTGCAGACTGCTGGCAACTCTAACTTTACTGTTTGTTTACATAGATTTTGATGATACATATTGAAGTTACATAACAATTAAGACTCTACTCTGTTCCTCTTTTGACCTTAGGCATGGTAAGCTTATTTCCGTTCTAGCCTTCTTTTAAAATGTTTAATGGAATTTCATATTTTTCCTATTGAAAAACTCTTAGGTTTTTGTCAAAAGAAATTTGAAATACCACATGAATTGATGTACTCACATCCCTCTCCACCACCGCCAAATCACATAAATAAAACATTTCATAAAAAGTCCTTTGATACAATTTATGGGAAGTAAATTTAACAAGAGCTGGCTCATTGTAGAAAAATTCAGCTTATCTTTTCCTGATCCTTTTATTCTATACAGGGAAAGAAATTTATGTCAGTTTAAAAAAATCTATTACTGTGTCTCATAACTGAATCCATTATTTTTCTCCATGATCCATCAGGCAAAAACAAGAATAATAGATTGCTTTGACAGAACCTTGAACATAAATGTCTCCAAGAATCAAATGGAGTAAGTTAAACAAGTTTCAGGAGGTATTGAAACAAGATCAGATAACCTTCTTCATACATTTCTAAGTCAGATCTTACTAAAGATTTCATTATTATTAGCAGCAGCAGAAAAAATGACAAATTATATACCAGTTGAATTTTCATGATAAAACTTGAATATTCTAATTCAAACCTATACATTTTAAAGTAAGATTAACTTTGAAAAACAAACTCAAATAAAATGATTGATTTTCTATTCACTTTTAATAACTAGTTACATATATTCTCCGTTTCACTAGACTCAATTTTAAATAATTGAAAATGTCCTATGTATGGTAGCTTATTAAAAAGATAATGTTGAACATATTTTACAAACAACTTATATTCATGAATATAATTAGTTCCATATGATCCACTTAATTAAAAATCAGTTTGATTCTACTTACACAAATCTGATACACTATGCTTATAATAGTAACTTCACTTGGGGAACTTTTAAAATAATTGGACATCTATGTAATACCTATATTCTCTAATTTCATTCATATGAGACAACCTCTCACCTTGTATTCAAGAAAGATGATCACATTCCCAATTTCAATGGCAAAACTCTTTCTGAATCATCAGCATATAACATTCATAGCACTGTAGCACTATAGCACTGTCCTCCTATTGTTCATCGATTTGCTCGAGAGGGCACCAGTAACGTCTCACAACAAATTGTGAGACTTATCGTTACTGTTTTTGGCATATCAAATACATCACAGGAAGCTTGCCAGGCTTTGCCATGCAGGCAAGACACTCTTGGTAGCTTGCCGGGCTCTCCGAGAGGGGCGGACAAATCAAACTCAGGTTAGCTGCGTGCAAGGCAAACGCCTCACCCGCTGTGCTATCACTCCAGCCCGTAACATTCATATTAAGGTTATTTTTGGTCTAGGCTGGAGCACATGACCCCAATTTTCTCAATCAGAAAGAGAATGACTTTTATGCAAGTTGAAAATACAGAGAGGTTTACCATTTTCTCCACATAGGTGAAGAAAACAGGGGGCCAATTTGCTGAACTTCCTCTGACCATGAGGTTGAGGACAATGTTAATAACAGAGATAAGTCTGAAAAGGATATGGGTCTTAATATCATTCTACTATTGTGTCTGAAGCATACCTAACCTTCTGTCTTTCAGTAAGAGAGTTTATGGATTTACTTAATCTACTGTGAATCAGAGTTTCTCTAATTATTTAGATATGTTTGTGATTAAATTCTAAAGAAAGATGAGAGAATAAACTCGGAATATTCTGTGTGCTTGTGATTTGTTTTATTCATATCACTTTACATCGGAAGATGTTTGAGGTATGTACTTTATTTTAAGGAATAGAGACCTCTTCCTAGTCATCTCATGAGGCAGAGAGTTTGATAGTGCTTAGGAAAACAGTATTCTTACAAAAGCTAATACAAATTCAAAACGAGTAAAAACCCTTTTGCCCCACCATATGAAAAATACAGTTTTATAAGGAAGGTCATAAATTACTCCTAACCTTTAGATATGAAACAGAGCTTGAACTGTTTTGTAGTCAATTTAAAACTATGGCCTATCAGCCAAAAGAGTATTTATTGTTATTCAGAAATCCTAGGCCACAGCAATCATAATGCTATCCTCTCATTTTCCTAAAAGATTTTTATAACTATTTCTCAGGCCTTGTGGATTATTAGTTGCTATTGTATGTGTCCATAGATAATAACTCATCAGCTCTGCAATCCAATTCTTAACATGAAGAGATAAAATTAATATAGATGATTCTAATATGTGATGGCACATACTGAGGTATAGAAAAATTCCATCATTTCCTTCTACAAAATGAGAGATTTTGATGCTCTTCTAAACATCTGCTTCTCTTGTTTTGCAAAGGAAAAAACATGTGCAATTTACTACAAGTACAATCAAGTCATTTTTACATGACTTTACCATCATTGTAGTTACAGGATATTTTCAAAGAAAGAAGTCTCAAAGCACAGGTCCTGCTGTGCAGCAAAACAATCAAATTTCTTCATAATAACAGACTGATGGGATTCAACATTCTGAGGAATAATGAATAACCATTTTAATCAGTAAACAGGAAAATGCTACAACAGTCGCTGAGTAAAACTTGATTATCATCTGTTGATCTTCTTGATCAGTATTTCAAACAATAAATAAAGATGTAAGTATCTCTAAAAAAGAAAATAGGTGCTGTTTAATACATTTGATTTCTCCAGAAAGTGAGAAAATGACATGTCAATGCCCTATAGTGTCCCGACAGCAAAACACACCCTTTTTTTTAAATAAGAATGACCAAATATACCCTAACATTTGAATGTATCAAAATAAAGTCATTTTTATTTGATTCATAAGGGTTTTTTTCTGGATTGATAATTCAGCTTTCTTGCAACTTCTTTATTTGTGTTCTTTAATTTTCACCTTCGTAGTAACTTGTATCAAATGAAGTGCTTATTTCAAAGTACTCCTCAAATTTATAATACAGTGTTTCAAATCTTGGCCTTTCCTTAGGGTCTTCCTTCCAGCAATCCAACATGATGCTGTAGAATTTCTGGGGACAGTGACTTGGTTGAGAAAGTCTATTCTTTTTATTCAAAAACTGCACAACTTCAGAACCTCTCATACCTAAAAAAATATGGAATAGAACCAACAAAAAGCAAGTTAAAGTTCAAATTGGCTCTTTTGGAAACACTATAGGGTTTTTTAAAGATTTTATCATTGAATCACTGTGAGATAGATATTTACAAAGCTGTTCATACATAATATGAGACTATAGGTTTACCATTCCTTTTCCCAGATGCAGAGATTAAATTAAATTAAACATCAATTAGTGTCTATAAGATTGCAATTCAAGAGCAAAGGGGAAAGAGGCAATCTACAACCTCATTAAAGCAAACCATCATCAACAAATTTTGTGTATTATGCTCCCACAGGCACATGGTATGGTCAGCCTCATAACTCTGCCCTCTAAGTCTGGGCAAAGCATATTAGTTATATCTAAGTAAGTGACCTGCAGCTGAAAGGTCCACTTCAGAATTAATTACTCACCGCCATAAGGCATTTTGCCATAAGTAATGATTTCGTAGAGAAGGATTCCAAATGACCACACATCGGACTTAATGCTAAATTTCTTATTAACCAGGGCTTCAGGTGCGGTCCACTTTACAGGCAGCTTAATATCAGGAGCAGATTCATAGATGTCTTCATTATCTACCTGTTGATATTTTAAGGAATTAAGATAAATTAAAGTGATTCTTTTGGTGCCACTATTCATTCCCAGTCAAAACGTCCCACTAAATTTTAGAGAGAAAGGCTGTCTAAAAGATCACTTCATATCATAATTATAGCAGTAGATTGCAAATCATAACTACAAACCTGAAAAAAATCCATAGAAATCATTAATAAAATATCATTTAAGAATCTACTATGCACTAAAAATAACATAGGAAATATTTTATTATATAAGGGCAAATTCATGTAATGTGATACACACCTTTATGTATGGACTTTAGTAAATTTTTAAAAAATGAAAGCAGGAGGTGGGGCTGGAGCAATAGCACAGTGGGTAGGGCATTTGCCTGGCACGCGGCAGACCCGGGTTTAATTCCCAGTATCCCATATGGTCCCCTGAGCACCACCAGCGGTAATTCCTGAGTACAGAGCCAAGAGCCATGAGTAACCCCTGTGCATCGCCAGGTGTGACCCAAAAAATGGGGGTGAAAAAAAGGTGCCATCAGCAGATCAACCTGTATCTGCGGGGCGAGTGCATCAGCAGCCTGAAGGTGCATTTGGACTTCCTGAAACCCTAAAATTATTGCTGTGTCCTTGGCCAGACCCCAACAACTTGGGACCAAGTTTACCAAGAAATTAAAGGGCTAAAAGTTAAGTATGTGCGAGCCACATCCACAAACCACCTCAGTTACACAAGCTCATTTATTGGTCTTTTTTCAGAGACTCATAAATCTTGAAAGAGATCAAAAGCCACAGTTAGGGCCAGTGATGTCTGTGGGCTCACCCTACAGGGCATATGCCAATAGTTTATTTCTCTGGAAAAGATGGAAACAAGGGACATGATCCAGAGACACACAAGAGAATCTCTCTGAATTGAAGAGCTCACTGCAGAGATGCCTCCGGATTTTAAGTCAGGCCAACTTTACCAGGATGCCTCAGATGGGGACAGGCATCGTCCCTCCACCTGCCCCTTAAAAACCTCGGTGGCCACCAACTTCCAGAACCAATGAGAAGTGCAGGTACGCAAGTTCAGTGACAGCAAATTCCAGGCCTCAAAGGATATGGGATGGGCCAGTCCTTCTCATCTCCCTGCCCCCCTTTGTCCCCCACACACACTCCGACCCCAAGGGACCCTGAAGGTCAGGCTCACAAATTGCCTCCAGCTTCTACTTAAGCTCCTTAATGGCTAGGATCCAGAAACACACAAAAGAATCTCAGAACCGAGCAGCTTCCTACAGACTTCTTTCAAACACTACTTCTCTAAAATTTTAGAATTCCAAGAGAGCGCAGCCTCAACATCCTATGCTATTTATAACAAGCAATACAAAATATAGTGTGGTGGAGATTGTCTTCCATAGAGGCAGGGGGAGGGGTGGGATTGGTGGGATACTGGGTACCTTGGTGGTGGAGGATGTGCACTGGTGGACGGTTGGGTTATCAATCATTGTATGACTGAAACTCAAACAGGAAAGCTAGAAAACTGTATCTCGTGGTGATTAAAATATAATAAAACAAAACATAATAAAATAAAATTAACATCCTGAGTTTAAAAAGTCACATTGATTTTATACCCAATTCAATCAGCTTAATCAATGGCTGAATAAATAGCAGTACTCTTACATTAAAAGAAATAATAATAAAGAAATAATAATAATAAGTGAAAGTAGAGCCAGTTTTGTTTACTGATTTACTCTGGCATTAAAAAGGTACTGACTTAGATGGTTACCATTTAACAACTTTCTGTAGCACTGTAGCATTGTCCTCCTGTTGTTCATTGATTTGCTTGAACGGGCATCAGCAACGTCTCCATTGTGAGACATATTGCTACATATTGTTTTTGACATATGGAATACACCATGGGGAGCTTGCCAAGCTCTCTGAGAGGGACGGAGGAATCAAACCCGGGTCATCCACATGCAAGGCAAGTGCCCTACCCACTGTGCTATTGCTCCAACCCTTAAATAATACTAGGGAAATGAATTACCCTTAACCCTAAGTATAGAAATGAACGGATAGGGAAATAAATAAATAGAGGGGAAAATGAGAGGCAGATGGGAGGTAAAAGGGGCAAAGAGTTCAGGGGCCTCGGGGGCCTCAGGCATATGAATGGTACAGAGGTGTTGCACATGTATCTAGACCACAGAGTCAACACACTATAAGAATGAGATCCAAACTACTAGGACCAAACTTTAAAATCAGCCTATAAAGGAGGCAGGTTGGGAAGTAGGAAAGAATCTGGGGTTATTAGTGAAGGGAAGTTGACAGTTGTGATGGGATTGGTTTTGAAACATTTTATGTTTGAAAATCTATTATGAACAACTTTGTAAATCATGATGACTTGATTAAAAATAAATTAAAAAATTCACCTTAAAAACTCTTGCAAGTCCAAAATCTGCCACTTTGTAGATGTTATGCTCACCAACCAGAACATTTCTGGCAGCCAGATCTCTGTGAATATAGTTCTGGGACTCGAGATAAGCCATTCCACAGGCTACTTGTGCTGCCATGTCTACCTGATCACTCAGATGAATTCTTACTCCAGCATCACCTGGGCAGTAAGAGAAAAAAAAAGAGTTACTTAGGAAAATATTAACTATTGAAGCATATTCTAAGCATCTTGTTACTGAACTATCATTTGTTAATTCTGTGCCACATCACTGATCTATTAAGGAACAAAATAAAAACAATACAACAAAATATATCATTTCCTGTAAGTAGTTAATAAGATTAAAATTTTAGAGTATAAGCATACTCCAATGTTGTGATCCTCCATTCCCTGGGTAAATATTATACAGATAAAATAGCAACAGTATCAGACCAGAATAATAGACAGTGGGTAGTGTGCTTGCCTCGCAGTTGGCTGACCCCATTTCAATCCCTGGCACCACATATGGTCTCCTGAGGTCACCAGGAGTGATCCCTGAGTGCAGAGCTGGGAGTAAATTCTGACACTTCTAGGTCTGGCCCCAAAACTGAAAATAAAAGCGTGCGCACGCACACACACACACACACACACACACACACACACAGCAAGAATATCACGTACTTCATAGAACTAGCTGAAATAATATGAGCTTTTGTCATTATCCATACTTCATGACTAACTTATACATAAAACCATTATTTGGTTGCCTCTGGATTTTTTTAAGCATTGCATAGTTTATTTTGCTCTTTGAATCTGTAATTTGCATGGCTAAACGATGAAAATTTCTCATTTTTAACAACTAGTTCACCAATAAACAAATAGAGTCTATAAGTGGCTATGACTTCTGTGTATTATTACTTTGTAGTCATCAATAATCATATATATTTTATTTCTAGAATAGTTTACTCAATTCTCATGGCATAATGATAGTTTCTCCTTCTGTTCATCCAGTATAATTAAATGTAGGAAACTGATATTCCAGGTCAGCTTAATCATTAATACAGAAACTAGTGTTAGCTAATGATGACTTCAAGAAATTGGGATGGTTACCCCAAAGTGTTTAGTTGCCATAATGTAAGTAGGTATCAAATTTCTGGAAAAGAAAATTTCTGGAAAATTCTCACATTATTCAAAATTATAGGTAGCCATGTCTAAACAGGGCAAATATCATTTTGAAAAGGTTTATTGGGGTCATGGACATGAACACTAGACAAAACTCCTAACTTGAAAGGCAACTATAATATAAGGTTAGAGAGACAAATTTAAAGTTAAAATGCCTGAATTTGGACCAAGGCTAAGACTCACATTTCCTTCTTACCTCTGACTAGCAGCTTAACGCTCGGTTTTCCAATCTTGACATCAGTATAGGGAGTATTGTAATTTCCTAGTAATAATATTTGTTAAAAATGAAAGCTAAGATTAACTGATACTGGTAAAGCACTTAAATTGTGCCTGACACTCAGGAAGAACTTCGTCTATCCTAATAATTATTATCATTGATGCATCTTAATCAAAATTAAATAGCTTGGGACTTGGTAAACTAAGAATTCATGTGGTTTATCCAAATAAATATTCTCATCAAAAAAATACTAGCATACGGTAGGAGAAGGAGAAAGTATGCATATTGAGATGGTGATTTGGTCATTGTCATAATTTACAAATGAGTGCTAGTGCTAGACACTGAAAATTAGTGAGGGTTTTTTTTTTATTTGAACATTTAGGATGGGCAGAAGGTAAATTTGCAAGAAAACAGAACCAGTCAGAACAATGAGAAGAGAACCTGATGAGAATATTATAATAGTCAAAGATTTTGAGAAATTGTGTCAAATAGTGGGCTGGAGCGATAGCACAGCGGTAGGATGTTTGCCTTACAAGCGGACAACATGGCTAACCCGAGTTCGATTCCTCTGCTCCTCTCGGAGAGCCTGGCAAGCTATCGAGAGTATCTCGCCCCCATAGCAGTGCCTGGCAAGCTACCCGTGACGTACTTGATATGCCAAACACAGTAACAACAAGTCTCATGATGGAGATGTTACTGGGCCCGCTCGAACAAATCTATGAACAATGGGAGAACCGTGATCTGTGATCCGTGTCAAATAGCAAAGTCCAACAGAAAATATACTAAAGGATGTTGCTAAATATAGCAATCAGGAAGCTATTTGTGGCATTTGTCACAGGAAGAGTAGTTTAACTGGAGAAGTGTAAGGATTTAAGAAATGAACATGAGCTAGAATATAGCTACAGCCACAGCAGATATTCATTTCTAAAATCTTCATTAAGAAGGGAAGTCAACAAAAAGTAATAGAAGAAAATGTAAATCAAGGGTACGATATTATCAAATTGAGGGTAGTGAGAAATTGTCAGTGATACCATATTCAGGGGGTTCTGTAATAGTGGCCACGTGTTTATTCTTGATTGATGCAATGACTGCTCAGTACATTGCTTGATCAGTTTACATTTAATGACAATTATACTATGATATATGCACTTTTATACATAACTGATATTTTTCAATTGAAAATGAAATAAATTTAGTTGAGTACATTTTAAATAGTCAATACTTAAGCACAGTGTATGTGTACATATATGGAATTTTTTAATGCAATCAAGATATTTAAGTAAGAAGCAAGGTAAAACTAGCTGCTCACTGAACAATTTGCCCTTTTCTTCCCAGAAAAACAGAGAAGACTATGTTCCTCATCTTCCTTTGTAAATTGGGCCATGTCACTAGTTCTTTGCATTTCAGTGTGTGAAGACAAAATATTCAGCACATACAGAGCTGGTTACATAAAATCTCCCATTTCTTTATCACGAGGTGAAGTAAATTTTGAACTAGAACAGCTGTATAATGGAAAAAGTATAAATTATCTTTGCCATTATTTTAAGAAAGTCACCTAGAAGAGTGGTATTATACATATAAAATATGATTATGGTACAAGATGGAGTCTTTTAAATTATTCAATATAATAGAAAACTTTATCAATCGGTCTGAAATAAAATGTAATCAAAAGAACATAATGGAAAAATAATGATAAAAAATTGAAGTTCTGCCACCTAAAATAGCAAGGCCACATATTAAATTCACTCAATAGTAAAATAAATGCAAAATGGTTAAGATAAACAGCTGACTAGTTCTAGACTGTAGAACAAGCAGTTCAAGTGGTTTCTAAACTCCAAAATATATGGGTTTCACTTCCAAGATATAATAAAAGACAGATATTTCATTATGTTCTAACTCTGCCCTCTTTCTCTCTTGGTTGCTCACTCTGGTTCACCATGTTGCAGGTTAACTTAAAGAGAGATTCATTTTACAAGGAAAACAGAGAAGCTTCCACCAACAGCCAGAGAGAAACTAAACCCAGAATTCCTGCAGATACCATCTCCTGGCAAACAATCATCTGAGGGAGCTTAGAAGTTGATCATCCTCTCCTAAAACCTTCAGATAGTACACCTGCCAGACTATGACTACAACTATGTGAGAACCCAGCACTCACAGACCTATCAGAGCTGGATCTGAACTCCTGGCCACAGAAATTATGAGATAACACAGTGTTTTAGCTTTAAGTCTATAAGTTTGGGATAATTAATACTTGTTTATATTAAGAAAATAATGTCAGTTTCATGCAAGTGGTTAAAAACAAATATGGATGTCATAGAAATAAATCAATGAACTGAGAAGATGTGAGAATCCCCTGCACATATGTACATGTTTCAACATACATCTCTGGGGATTGACTCCTGAGAACAAGGCCTGAAGTAGCTGTGGGCACTGTCAGTGTTGTTTTGTATATGTAGGTATTGCTCAAAATCAAACCAAATAAATCATATATGAGGGTATATTTCCTGGAAAAAAGACACATTTACTGAGTTTAAATTCTTACTCACCTACCTTGATAAGTTATTTAACCTCTCCATACTTTTAGCTATAAAATGAAAGTGACAATAACCTTAATTTTGTGAAGTTGTTAGAAGAATAAAACTATGACATATCTACACAATGGAATGCTGTGCAAGTGTTAGAAAAGATGAAGTCATGAAATTTGCTTATAAGTGGATAGACACGGAGAGTATCATGCTGAGTGAAATGAGTTAGAAAGAGAGGGACAGACATAAGATGACTGCACTCATTTGTGGAATATAAAGTAACAGAATGGGAGACTAACACCCAAGGACAGTAGAGACAAGAGCCAGGAAGATTGCTCCAAAGTTGGAAGTCAGCCTCAAGTGATGGGAAAAAGGAAGATGGGATAGGGAAGGGACCACTTAGTCAATGATGGTTGGAGGGATTGCTCAGGATGAGAAATGTGTGCTGAAAGTAGACAAATGACCAAACACAATGGCCTCTCATTATCTGTAATGCAAACCATAGTGCCCAAAGTAGAGAGAGAGTAAAAAAGGAAAATGCTAGCCATATAGGCAGGGGAGTAGGGTAGGGTGCTGATGGCGGGAGGGATACAGGGGATGTTCATGGTAGGAAATGTACACTGGTGGAAGGATGAATGTTTGATCATTGTATGACTGAAACACAATCACGAAAGCTTTGTAACTTTATCTCACGGTGATTCAATTTGAAAATTAAAAATTAAAAAAAGAACATGCAATCAAGAATCCTCTACCCTGCAAGATTATAATTTATATTTTAATGAGTGATAGAAGTGTTCTCAGACTAACAACACCTGAAAAATTGTTGCATCTAGACTAGTTTTGCAAGGAATACTGAATGGAATGCTAAATTACTTCATTAATTAATAGTAAACAGCCAAAAATGATTAACATATTCATTTAATGGCAAAAAATTTGTTTATATCAATAATTTCTCTAAATGTCAATATATGATTCAAAGAATAACAAAGAGGATCAGTATAACTGACAGTGTGTAAAAGGAAATTTGTGGAGAAACCAGAATTGTATGGGTTATATGGTAAGAAGAATCAGTGAGAATCACTGGCAGTTTTGAGCTGATGAGGAATATGATATGATTTAAATTCTAACAGGATCTCTGCTATATGAAGAAGAGACTGAAGGGAACACAAATCAATTATTTTAGTTCTTAAAAAAGAAAGACAAATTTGAAGGCTATCACCAAAACCAGGAAATAGCTGATGACAGTTCAGAATAGAGTGGGAGTGTTGAGAATTTCTAAGATCTTAGATGTATTTGGAAAGCAAATAAGTGGGATTTGTTGATGGTTTAAATATAGGATATGAGGTGCCAGAGAGATAGTAGAACAGGAAAGGCACTTGCTTTGCATGTGACATACCCAGGTTTGATCCCTAGCTCCCCATAGGGCTCCCAGAGTTCTCCATGAGTAATCCCTGAGTGCAGAGCCAGGCATAAGCACAGTTAAGTATGGTCCATATGTCTATAAATATGTAGATATAGATATAATTATGAGAAGTAGACATGGTTTCAAGGTTTTTGATATTAATGCTGTCAAAAAAAAACTACAAGAGTAGCAGATTACAGGGAATGACTTAAGATCAATTTTAGATAGGTTGCTTTGAAATGCCTAACAGTCATATGCAATTTTTCAAAGAGGGCTATTTACAAATATTTACTATTATCCATTTGAAAGCTTATTCAGTTTTCAGTGCCAGGGATTGAATCCAGGGCCTCATCCTTGCAAACTAAGTATTCTACCACTGAACTATCTCCCCAGCCTTTAATAACTTCTAGTACTGCACTATTTCCTGTAGATTTTCTTTGTGCTTTTATTTTTATTTATTTTTTATTTTATTTTAATCACTGTAACTTATAATACAGTTAGTGATAGGACTTCATGCATACAGTGTTTCACTACCACATCCTCTACCAGAGTATCAACTTTGTTCCACCATTATCTCAGGGTTTCCCAGCAGCTTCTAACAAACCTTCTACCACAATGTCCCCACCACAGTAAGCTCACTTTTTAGACAAATTCTCAGCTTCTGCTGTTTCAAGCCATTTGTTTCAAGCCATTCCTTCCTAGGCTTCTTACATCCCACAAACAAAAAATCATTCTGTATATTTGCTTTTCTTCTTCTAGCTGGCATTATTACTTATTTTGACTTGGGAAAATGAAAGGGGCACAGAAGTTACATGTCACTCCTGATCACAAGCTTTAAGAGCAAGAATGAATTAGTCACATACCTTCCTCAGCTAAGGTAATTAAAAATAGCCAAGTCACCAGCCAACACTTTCCGAACATGTCGCATATACAAAATAAACATTTGTTGTACAAAGTCTCTGGAATTTCGGGACTGCTTCTTGCCTTTTCATACCTACAAGGTAGCACTTTAGCACTGACCTATACTGTTCATCGAATATACTGTTCATCCAGCAGGCACCAGTAAAGTCTCCATTGTGAGACTTGTTACTGTGTCTGGCATATTGAATACGCCACTGGGAGCTTGCCAGGCTCTGCCGTCCGGGCAGGATACTTTCGTTAGCTTGCCAGGCTCTCCAAGAGGGACAGAGGAATCCAACCCGAGTCAACTCGAGTCAGCCACGTTGCCACGTGCAAGGCAAACATCCTACCCGCTGTGCTATCCATACCAGCCCCATACCTACAATAGCCATAATAATACCAAATGGAAAAGATAACAAGGTATTTAAGTATTTCATTCTAACCAAAGGCAGTTACAAAATTTAAGGAATCACTAAAACAAGAATTGTATTAAACAAGATTGGTTGAGAATAGCAAAGGAATCAATAAAGGTTGCAGAATAGTCTTAGAAAATTAAGAAGATTTAGATGTCTAGGAAGTCCCATAGATTAAGAAGAACTAACAACAAAAAAAATAGGAGGGAGGTTCATTGAAAGAAATATCGTGGAAGTCAACTGAAAAAAATTGCTTCCAGATGGAAAGATTGTCCATTTTATTAAATGCTGCTGATAGGTTTGAGGAGCTGAGAATTTACTATTAGATTTGACAATGTTAATATTACAAGGGGATCTTAATAACAAGACATTTTTCTTAGAGATGATTTTAGATAGCCTTTGTACGTGTTATTAGAAATAAGGCAAAAGGGATATAAGGCCGAGGGTAATCTTTCTTAAGTGGGTAACATATTATGATGCAGTAGAGCTTAATATTTCCATTCAATCAGCAAAATATAATTTTGTTTTTAACAACATGTTAGCAGGTCTTAGTTCTTTGTTGTTCTGATCCGGTTTTGTGATTTAATATTGCATCTCGCAAATCACAGTAAGATCAGAGAATACTCTTATCTACCTATTATCTTTGTTCATTTTGGATGTTTGCCGACCCGATTCGATTCCTCTGTCCCTCTCAGAGAGCCCAGCAAGCTACCAAGAGTATCCCGCCTGCACTGCCGAGCACAGCAAGCGCCCCATTGTAGGATAACACTGTTTTGTCCTTCCTGCATAGCCTCAGGTAGTTTAGGTTTATTGGATTGCTCCCATCACAGTGCACCCAATCCTCTGTGTTTATTTGTAACTTCTTTCTTTGTGCTCTCTTGACTTATAAATAGTTTTTCTCTTCTCCCTAAATCCTTTGCATAGTTTATTCTGAGCAATACCCATTTTGTATGGACACAAGAAGACATACTTTTGTAATGTGACTCTCAGTAACATTTCCCTCCTGAGCATCTATTCTCTCACCTAAGCCTCAGCTGCCCTTACTTCCTAGCACCCCAAAAGCAGAATTCCGACGAGAGACTGGATGGAACTAGGGCAAGCAGTAAGCTATGTGCTACCCTGGCATCGAGATGGGCCTGGCCAAAGCGCCATAATGCTTAACTATACGTTAAGAGCTTGGGCATGGACAAATGCTGTCATGATCCAAAAAGTAATAACTAGATTTGGACCCTGCTAGGGTTAGGAATGATTATTCTGGCCTGGGGGCTGTAGTATGAGTCTATGGCAAGATGTGCCCTACAGGGCTCAATGTTATCTCTTACTTCTTACTGTGTCCATACAAAAATAGCTAGTATTGATATGTTGATAGTTATTGGACTGAGGAAAAGAGAAAAACACCTTAGGAGGTATTTTGCCCTTGGGCAGTCAGGAAGGGCTTTCTTATGTTGATTTTGCTACCTGACTGGGTGGAGTGTTAGCATAGAGTGCAGGAGAGTTGGAGAGCCAAGAGAGTGAGAGAGGCCAAGAAGAGACAGAAATGAGAAGATTGGAATAAACTGCTACTAAGATCAACCAGACTAGCCCTCGACTTCTTCCTTCATCTTCCCTTGGCCAACAGCCGTCCTGACCCAGGTCACACACAGTGACTCTAGAGCACCGAACGGGGCCAGTGAGATAGAGCCGTCCAGAGCCCGTGAACACACAACCTTCAACATGCATAGTTTTTACACCCCATGGCACATTCAATATACCAAAAACAGTAACAACAAGTCTTACAAAGGAGACATTACTGGTGCCTGCTTGAGCAAATCGATGAACAACAGGAGGACAGTGCTTTACCTTTATAAATTTTATCAATACTACTCTGACATTTCAATAAAGTAGCACTGTAGCACTGTAGCATTGTCCTCCCGTTGTTCATCGATTTGCTCGAGCAGGCCCAGTAATGTCTCCATTGTGAGACTTGTTTTTACTGTATTTGGCATATCAAATACATCACAGGTAGCTTGTCAGGCTTTGTTGTGTGGATGAGAAACTCTCGGTAGCTTACAGGGCTCTCCAAGACGGGCGGCAGAGGAATCAAAAATTCTCTTCATAAACACCTGCTTCCATCAGTATTTGATCTCTACGAATTTCAACATTTTCTTTTAATGCTTATTATATTGTTAATGATAAATTATTCACTTATAATGAGTATCAAAACTTCACAATGCCCTAATGTATTCTTAAACAAGAGTGTTCTTTTAAAAAATACTCTTGGAGCTGGAGAAATAGCACAGTGGGTAGGGCATATGTCTTGCAAACGGATGACCAAGGTTAATTCCCAGCATCCCACGAGCACTGCCAAAAGTGATTCCTGAGTGTGTGAGCCAGGAGTATGCCCTGTGCATCACTGGGTGTGACCCAAAAAGCAAAAATTAAAAATTAAAAAAAATGTATTCTTTGTTAGGGCTGGAGGGATAGCACAGCAGTGTGGGATTTGCCTTGCACGTGGCCAACATGGCCAACCCGAGTTTGATTCCTCTGCTCTTCTCAGAGAGCCCCGCAAGCTACCAAGAGTATCACGCCTACAGGGCAAAGCCTGGCAAGTTTCACATGAAGTATTCAATATGCCAAACACAGTAACAACAAGTCTCACAATGGAGACGTTACTGGGCCCACTCAAGCAAATCAATGAACAACGGGAGGACAATGCTATTCTTTGTTAAAGTAATATTTAAGTAATTGCATATTTCTGCTTTTAATACTAAATTTTTTTTTGTTTTTTGAAGGTTTTTTGTTTTGGGGGGATCACAGCTGGCAATGTTCAGGAGTTATTTCTGGCTCTGCACTCAGGAATCATTCCTGGTAGTGCTTGAAGGACCATATGGGATGCCAGGTATTGAACCTGGATCAGCTGCATAAAAGGCAAACACCCTACCAGTTGTACTATTGTTCTGGACCCCAATAATAAAAATTCTAATGTTACCTAACAATTTAAATATTTTAAGCACCAATGAATACAATTTTGTCAAACACCAGCAGAGGGATAACATTTCCTCTACTTCTGCAAAATACCCCATGTTCCTAATTCTCAGCCATAAAAAAAAAATATTTATCTGTAAGTGCAAAGTTCGGTAAGTTATTACACAAAACGAAGCATCACACAAAATACTATTCCCCAATTTTCCACATTACAATTAAGTATTTTGATATATCTCCTATGAACAATTTGTTCTTCAAGTACATAAACATATCCCTCTCTATAAGAACACAACATATATCTTATTAAAGATTAGCTGATTCATCAATGTTGAGCCATTCAATCTCACAGATGTGTGCAGTAAATGTACTCTGGGTTATAGAATACTTGCTACTGTAATATTTATATAGCTAGCTAAACTAAGATTCTCCTTTTTTCCCTTTATTAAGTCTTTAGCTTACATTGGAGATATTCTAGCAGGCTTCCATGTCTCATCAACTCTGTAATAATATAAATGGGATCTTCTAAAGTGCAAACAGCATAAAGCTGGATCAGCTTTGGATGCCTTAGCCTCTTCATTATCTGTGCCTCCCGCAGGAAGTCATTTGGATCCATTGAACCTGAAACAAGAAAGGGGAAATCACTTTATGTTATCGAGGCATTCCTGTCCTCACAGCAGCCTGGTGGAAATCACCTAGTTTATTTCCAGCTTCTCAGTAAAGTAAGAGCATCTGTGTCACAAAGCTTCAGATTTGTCTAATACCAGAATCCCAATTTCAAATAGTGCAACCTAATAACTGATGTGTTAGGACATTTGGGGTGGCAGTTTATATTACAACCTGTAGATGATTCAGGTCCATATGAAGGAAAATGAAAGGCTGACAGTCTAATCTACTAAGCAAAGCAGGTGTTTATGAACACAAAGGGAAGTTATTCTATTAACATTAATACTGGAAAACATGAGGTGTTTAATTACTGCAGAAAACTTTCCAGTCTAAATCCAGGGAAGACTGATCACTGCCCTGTCCTTGTTATTCATCATGAAAACAAATGAATAAAAATCCTAAAGCAATGACTAACAATCTACCATATTTATGCCCTTATATCTCAAGGGACATAAAGAATAGGCCTAATAGAAAACATTCAGAGGCCACAACCAAGACATTGTGTGTGCACATGTGTACACGCATGTGTGTGTGTATTTAGCCACTCACATATGTCCAAATTGAAATTGATATATAAAGACTTCTCTTGCAACATCAGTTTTCACTACCAAAGTCTTAATAACTTGATCAAGTGGTAAGGGATACAGTCTCGGAACTAATTTTGAAAACTCAAAAACTGACTCACCATGCAAATAAGAATTAATAGCAGATAAATTTTTGGAGGAGAATCATACCTAGAATTTTATTCTATTAGTAATTTTTAACTATGCTTCTTTTCAACTACAATATTTTCTAGAATTTCTGAAATTGAAGTAATACTGTTATTTCCCATCTTAGAATTCACTATTGAAATGTATCACGCTGAGTGAAATGAGTCAGAAGGAGAGGGGCAGACATAGAATAACTGCATTCATTTGTGGGATATCAGAAAAAAAATAGTATGAGACTAACATCCAAGGACAGTAGAAACAAGGGTCAGAACAAATGGTCCATGGTTGGAAGTTTGCCTCAAATGATGGGGGAGAGGTCAGTTGGGATAGGGAAAGGACTACTGTGACAGTGATGGTTGGAAGGGATGGCTCTGGATGGGAGATTTGTGCTGAAAGTGGGTAATGGACCAAACCAAAATGCCCAAAATGAGGGGAGAGAGAGAGAGAGAGAGAGAGAGAGAGAGAGACAGAGACAGAGACAGAGACAGAGACAGAGACAGAGACAGAGAGACAGAGACAGAATAAAGAGAGAGAGAAAGAAAGAAAAGTGGAGACTGGGGTTGGGGGTGAGTAGATGGATACTGGGGGCATTGGTAGTGGGAAATGTATATTGGTGAAAGGGTGTGTGTGGTGGAAGGAACATTGTATGACTGAATCCCAATCATGAAACATTTCTAATTGCGCATCTCATGACATTTCAACTTTTTTGCAAAGACAGAGACTGCTCCATTTATTATTCTCTCATGTTGACAATTTCTTAATGAACTTTTCCAAAGAGGAATTAGAGCTGACAAACAAGTGCATGAAATATATTTAACAGGACTAACCATCAGAAAATTATAAATGAAAAGCAAACTGAAATATCACCTCATACCTGTTGGAATGACTATGGTCAAAAAGAAAAGAGAAAAACAAGTGTTTATAAGATTATAGTAAAGGAAATTATGTATACTATTGCTGGAAAATCAGTTGAAACCGCCGTTATGAAAGATAGTATGAGTGCTCTTCAAAGTTTTCAAAATAGGGACCAGAAAAGAGTATAGCAATTTGATTCCTGAACCTACGTGGTCCACCAAGCATCAGCACCACCGAGGTGGCCTGTGTATCACCTGGCTCCACCGTATTATTCTTTACCCCATGTATACTCTTGGCCCTTGCACTGAACTACTGCAGTGGGGCCCTGAAAGTCCTAAGCACTACATAGGGGTCAAAGAGAAAAAATTTTAAGTGTATCTGGATAAGCAGCAGAGGAATCATGCTTGGTGCCCCAGATAAATTCCCAACACCATATGAGCTGCTGAGCAGTGAAGAGTATATCCCTGCAGGCCCCTAGCACTACTGGGTAGGCCCCATGATCCACAATGCAGGGCCTGAGTAGCATTATACATACAGGCTCCAGGATTGAACCATTTGGATTAAACTATAGAATATTTTTAGGAATATCCTCTAAGTCCCCTGAACATTGCTTGGGAGTCCTTCCATTAAAACCACCAAAAAATTTAAAGCAGAATTCCCACCTGATCCTGTTATTCTATATAAGGGGTTTTTTTTAAAAAAACCCACAAAAATAAAGACTAACAAAAAGATGCATCCAATTCATAGCAGTGTTATTCTTAGCATCTAAGATATGGAAACAGTTTGTGTTCATCAATGAATAAATGAATAAAGAAAATATCAGTCCTATGTGTGTTCCATACATACTGTAACAGTTTTTAGCTATAGAAAAATAAAATGAAAGCTTTCTATTTGCAATGATATGAATAAAACTGAGGGTATTGTGTTCAGTAAGATATATTAGGAAAAATACAAGTGCAATATACAATATCATATATTTTAAATGAAAAAAGTTTTGATCAAATTTACACATACAAAGAACATAATGGTGATATTCAGAGCCAGAGAATGACAGAAAGACAAAAATGGATGGGTGGGGGTAAAATACGCAGAGTTCCAGTAATAAAATAAATTATCTATGGTTATATAATATACATCAGGAGGGCTATAGCTAATAGAATTTAATTGCATATTTGAAATTGTTTGAGAATAAGTATTAAGTGTTCTTATTGTAATAAAACATAACTATGGTGATGAATTGTAGCTAGACTTATTATGACGAGCTTTTTTCAATCAATACAAATATTGGGCTTTTATGTATGGTTTATAAAGAAACAAGCAAAGGGATTTGAACAGTGTCTAATGACAACAGCCCCTGAGACTTTGAATACAGAACTGGTAATACAGGTTATAAGTTGAATAGAGTTGAATTCAGAACTTGATTATAAACGTTATCAAGCTGGAGGTGGGGAGATAGGAGGAAAAAGTAGACTAGAAGCAAGAAGAAAGTGGTGGAAGGTCTGAAACAGTAACTATGTTTAATAAAGACCAAAATGTGAACACTATTGTTATCTATGTAACACTATTGTACAACACTATTGTAACACTATGTTATCTAAGTTGCAATTTAAAAAATAATTTGATTGCTATAGAAATAAAAATATTTAATCATTGGTTGTACAACTGAAACTAGTATAATATCAGTTATATTTAAATTTGTTAAAAATCATATTTGGCACTTGAATCAAGACATAGGTATACTTTGACAATATAAGGTAACATTCTGACTAGTTCATTAATATGGGGGTAATAAGAGTCACATATGACCTTCAGATTATGTCACACAGATCATCTTCATCTAGAAAACTAAACTAAAGCATTTTCACAACCTATTATATGGTCTGTCCTTGAGAGTCTAGAAGCTCAGAATTGAAGCTAAATCACACTCCATATTCTGGACCAATCCTAGTTGGTTTTTGTAGTTTGAAAAAGTTTCTCCCAATTTGGTAGAATGAGTTTCTTTCAATTTTCTTCATTTGCAAATTGTGGCTAATAATCATATCATCACCATATAATCATTATCAGGATAATAGCAATACCTAAAATACACATTTCAAATGATTGCTGATCATGATTTGCCTTATTATTCATATGCATGGGTCTTGGAAAAACAGATCTACCAAATTTTTTTTCAGATTGCAGATAAAGATTTAAGATTGGAAAATGGGCTGGGAAGTATTCTACTCTTGTTTCCATCACAGTTTGCTGTACTTTCTCAATTTTATCTCTGCCATAGATTTGCTTCATATAATCAGGATGAAAAGTTTGAATTAAAATAGCAAAGTAGAGATGAAAGAGGTACTCAAATCACAATAAAGAACTTTGTTCTTGGTTGTTATAACTAGCTTGGTTAGTGATCAAATATGGATATAATAGAATCTTTCTTTCCCCTAGCCCCCAAAAATATCATATCAGCACTGCAGTAAATATGAGCACCATCCACACAGTTAATGCGATTTATGCTTCTCTAAGTTTACATTTTGTATCATTTTCTGGTGACTTATATCACAACCAAATCATGCTACTACCAGTTATTCAATAAGAGAACATCAGGATCCTCTGCAGATGAAGGCTCTCAAAGCACTCCTTCAAGACTATACTGGTCACAGTTGACCGGATGCAGCGCAAAGAAAACCTAATCTCAACTTAGCCAGTGATGCAACATTAAATATTAATTTTTGTCCATCAGAGCTACTGTGAAAGTTGATTTCAGGCTTGTCTTTATTGCACGGCAGTCTGCAAAGCAATAAATACCTGCTAAGATTGATTAATGGCTCTGGTGAAATGAAAGCATTTAACCAATCATCAAAGCTGTTTGCTTCTATTACACTGTAAATCAATAATAATTACTCCTGTTGGAGAGAAAGCTACCATGGCACCTTTTTTTAATATAAGAAATCTGATTTTTTGTTCTCTTTTGACCTCTAGGAGGCCATCCTTAGAGTGCAGTGCTGGATTAATAGCCGCTTGGTTTTTTATGGAAAGGATTAGATTGGACAATAAAGTTTCGTCTAAATTGTCACCGAGATTAGGGTTCTTAGTCACATCCATGCAGTTCAAAATTTGTGATTTTAACAGTATCATCTTCACCTACATTACCCATGGGCATCTGGCCACTTAAAAGTGCCTCTCTATTGTCTCATATGCTGCAAATTCATACTTCAGCAAACAGCAGCCAGTGACCCCATTGACTGTGACATTTATGAAGAATGTACTGCATATATTTTGTATACACTGACTCAATTGGTCTTCATAAAATCCATTGAAGTAGGAACTATGATCATTTCTATTTCCAGATGAGAAAAATTTAGAAAAAGTTAATAAATTGTCCAAAGTGACAGAGGGCAGAGCCAAGTTTGAGATCAGTTCTATTTTACAACAAACTTCAAGCTCTTAAGTACTCTGAGGATTCCAAACTTTCCCAAATTTTATGTACTCTTATTGCTCAGCAATTTTTTCATGATGCCTTAAGCCTAAATGATCACCTACTAGCTCCACTACTTACATATTTTAATTCAGACCATGCAAGTATCGAAATAGGTCCTAACAACTTCCTATCCATTTTTAAAATCACGTCAGTTAAACTGAAAAAAAAACTTTGTCATCTTTAATCACAATTATTTACTAAAGAGACATATTCATCTAACGGATGCTGTGCAGTTTCCCAAATTTTGGAAGCAGATAAAACATCACTACCATCATTTTCCTGGTCCACATTGATTTAATATGTGTGTGTTTTGTTTAAAACAATACTACCCCATTTCCTGTTCCACACTGATCTTTGTGTCAGTCTGCGTGTATCAAAAAACCACAACCATCAAAGCTCCAGTTTCAAAGTTGTTAGCAAAAGGAATGAACCATCAAAGCCCCAGGTTCAAAGTTGTTAGCAAAAGGTCACTACCAGAGGCCTGAGGTTGGTACAGCAGTTAAGATTTTATTTTGCAAGTGTTTGAAACAGGTTGTCTATGGTCCCAGAGCTCTCCCAGAATGGGCCCTGAGTCCAGCATAAGGACTAAGCCCTCAACACTTCCAGGTGTGGCTCAAAATTAAATAAATAAAGGAAAAGAAATGCTCTCAGATGTTGAAACTTCAAACTATCTTCAGGCAGCATTTTGTGCAGCATATAAGATACAAATTTTAATAATAATTGCAAATTTCCTGTAGTAGCCCTATAAATTCACTGAGGTATCCTGTGCACTGACACACAATTTGGGGACCATGGTTTTGTACTGTCCAACATCACTCACGTTTTGCTGTGAAGAGCTGTCTAAACTTTTGAGAATTCTGGACTAGGCAAATAATGGAAGTCTCTGTGAACTACGTTCTTGTCTCTTGCTATTAATCTTCCACATGTTAATAGAAGTAGCTATGAGGAGATTTCATGGCAAGAGTAACATTGAACACGTATAGGCTATTGCCTTCCTAGACTGTGATGCAATAATGCTAGCTGTGGGTTCAAATTCTAGATCTACCCTTTACTGATTTGAAATGACGATGATGGTGATGGTGGTGGTGGAGGTGGTGGTAGTAATAGTTTTATATGACTCTTACAACCAGACTTTAGGCAAATCATTTCCACTAATAACCTAATTTAATATCCACAAGAATTCCGCTAGGTTAGTCCTAATATTATCTCAATTTGCTAATAAAAAAAAAACTGAGACCTTGGATAGTTTAAAATTTTGCTCCAGATAATATCTAAGGAATTATCTTACTCTGTTTTTAAAATAGATGAAATAATACCACCTGAATAAATGTGAATTTTAGTATATTTTGGATTTGCACAATAAGAAAAAGGAAGATAGAAAAAATATATACTACTTTTCATTTATGAGGTGTTTTCAAAGGGTATTTTTTTTTTTTTTTGCTTTTTCGGTCACACCCTCAGATGCTCAGGGATTACTCCTGGCTTTGCACTCAGGAATCACTCCTGGAGGTACTCAGGGGACCATATGGGATGCTGGGAATTGAACCTGGGTGGACCGCGTGCAAGACAAACACCCTACCTGCTGTGCTATTGCTCCAGTCCCAGGGTAATTTTTTTTAATGATACACAACTAGCAATTTTTTAAAATAGTTACTCCTTCAATAGTTCTAAGGTTCTCCCCATTTTTTTTAAACACCTGGCAGTGTTCAGGGCTTATGCCCGGCTCTGCACTCAGGAATTACTCCTGGAGAGCTCGAGCAACCATGTGGGGTGGCCGGAATTGAAATTCACATCTGCTGCATGCAAGGCAAGAGCCTTCCCCACTGTACTTTCACACCATTCTACCATTCCACCAGTTTTAAAAGTATTTCTAGTGAATTCAGTAATTTTTTAACTGAAAAATACTAGGGGAAATGGTGGGAATAAAATACTAGAAGACTGGTTCCTAAATCTAGAAAAGAGACACCTTTATGAAATCTTGCACTGGGATGTTTAAGACTTTGCTGACCCAGGTAGCAATGCACTTGCTTTTATATTCTAATGTTGTGGTCACAGTGGATGGTTACCTGGGTTCTAGAAGGTGACTGCACTCCATCCTTGGTATGAATATTGGTTATTTTGGACAATTACAGTGGCAAAATGAAAGTCTGCATATACTAACTAACCTCTGCCATACTCATTCTCATACCTGGTTTTAATGTTTTGACTGCTACTGAAGTCGTATTGTTCCACAGGCCTTCCCACACTTCACCAAACTGACCAGATCCCAATCGCCTCAGAAGTTTAATAGAGTTGCGATCTATTTCCCATTGGTCTGCAGTTTGATATGATAAATCAAAAGGTGTCGGGACTTGAATCTGTTTCAAAAAATAATTATAATATTTATTAAAATGGAAGTTAGATTTAACAACATTTTTGCTGAAATCATTGTCTGAGTACTTTTTGAATATTTTCCCCATAATTATTGAGGTACTGTGATTTGCAATACTATCAATGATAGTTTTGTGCATATATTACAAAGTAACATAAATTTTATTCGAAATACTTTAAAATTAAGATAAAGTAATATATATATTATTATATATTTGAGCTGGTTCCTTCCAGATTCTGCTAAGTCACATTTGCTGTCCACATGTCCCACCTAACCAATGCCTCCCTGGCAAGGAGCTGGCCAAATTTTTCTCTATCTCCTTGCTTCCTAAAACACTCCACTTTCAAGGTCTGATTCATCTCATCTATTTTAAAGTCAGTGTGGTTCAATATTGACCATTGGACCATTGTTTTTCTATCCATGTTTTTCTATGCCTTAGAGAATAAAATGACTATTGTTTTCTGTAATGACATATGACATGGCAAATACTCCAATAACTGAAGGAAAGAAGTTGACTTCTAAACTAAAATATATACAGCTAGAAAAAGTTTTACCTTTAAGCATGGTTTTCCCAGCTTTACACACAGGCCATCACTTGTCCTAGTGTAGTAACTCACAAATTCATTCAGTGTTGAAAAGGTTTTTCTCCGAGTAAGGTAAAAGGCCCCATCTTCCCGTCTTCTTATTCTGTAGTGTTTTACAGTCTCTGCATCTAAAACTAGAGCCCAAAACAAATCCTGTTAATAAACTTCTTGCCAAAGTCAAGCAGATTTCTTTTTTTTCTGGAGTTTCAGTGCATAAAAAACATATTCCCAAATTCCATTTATTTCTCAACATTTAGAAAAAAATTTAGAAAGTATGCAAAGGTCACTCACTGCTTTGTGTCATACATGCTTAGAACACACTCTAATTGAATCTATCATTCAAATAATACAAAATAATACTGTAAGTTTCAGAAATCATAGTATTCATAAGAAAAAAATCACAAAAGGTGTTTAGAAACAGTTCCACTCATCCTGTTATAGAAACCAGGAAGAATTTCTCCCACAAATCCTATAACAAGGACCTGCAATAAAATAAATGGTACCCTCAGTACTTTCCTACAATAATATAAGAAGTTTCACAGGCTATTCATTACACTGTGCTTTAATACAGGTTGATAACAGAATGTCTTAAAGCGGCTCAATATAAGCAATTCCACAGAGTGTAAAAACTATGCAATACTTACAAACACTTCCCAGCAGTGTTTCTTAATCCAATGGCAAATCCTGAAGCATTTAGAAAGAAAAACAATAGACTATACATCTCTTTAGTTTTTTTCTTTTTTTAAGCCAGATGAATTTAACATGTAGTTGGTATGCTGTTGCTTTTGACCTAACATTAATTGTTGTAACTTTTTCTGATAGTGATACCCCATTTTTCCTTAGAGAAATCATGCTCCTCTGAGGATATGTGCTATAAAGAGTACTGAAACCCCCCCAGAAAAAACACATTCAGAGTCATAGAGACAAAATTCCTTGCCTAGAAAGACAGAAGATAGGAAAAGTCTGGTACTATTATTATGTTGTTCTTTTACATTTTTTAACTGCTGGGAGTTTAGAATTGCTAGAAAAATATTGTTCTCAAGCAAAAGAGAGGTAGCCCAGTGTAAAAAAATTTGATTTTTTAAAAAAATAAAGATGCAGCCTAACCTATACAGTCAGCTAAGCCTAGCTCTTCAGCAGCAAGGCTTCATTTGCTTTGCTTAAACTAGCTTGAATTGATTTCGCATCTAAAGTTTTGACAAATATACTTCACACCCACTAGTTGGATTAGTAAAATTGAATAAGTACCCTATATAAAATTAACCAGGACTATAATAATATTTGTTAAATATAGCAACTTTAGCTTCAATAACTAGTCAGGATGGAACAATGTTCTCCTTCTAGGAAGGAAAACTAAGAAGCAGTCATTTCAGACCAAGTATGGAAGCATATTTAGGGTACAACAAAGGCCAGAAGAATATTTTCCTCAAAAAATAATTGACATTGAGGCCAGAGAGGATAGAACAGCAGGTAGGGGGCTTGCCTTGCGCTTATTCAACCCTGGTTTGATCCCTAGCATCCTATATGGTTCCGCAAGTCTGCCAGGAGTGATTCCTGAGTTCCTGAGTGCAGAGCCAAAAATAATCCCAGAGCATCTCTGGGCATGAACCAAAAAAGTTTTTTTAAATAATTAACATTTACCAATTTTACTTATAGCCAAAATAAAGACAATATTAAGTATTGGCAGAGATGTGAAATAGCTAGAACTCTTACACAGTTGATGAGAGTATAATTTTGACAATCATTTTGGAAAACTTCATGTAATGTACTAAAGGTGAACATGGTCATACATATGGTTACTCTTTTCAAATTACATAAACAAAAATGCACAATATATTCATAGGTAGGAGGAGTACATAAAGATTTGTTTGTATATTGAAAGGATTCAACTGTTGTGTGACCCTTTCACATGCAGAATATTGATTCTGGGAAATGTCTGTACTCTAAGAGGAATAGATGGTTTCAGTTCTATTTGTCTGGCGCAAATACATTTATAAATAGTTGGTGGTAGATACAGAAGTTGGCATTCTCTTAGGATTGAGAGCTTATTTTTACATTGTATCTGATGACAGAAAAGCATTTGTCTTACACTGCACAAAGGACTGCTACAAGAAGTCATCAAAAGCACTTTCAAAGTGTTATGTTCCCCACTCTTCACCTGCTGCCATATCTTTCAGAACAGCTCAAATAATTACAAAATCCAAGGCACTCCAAAACTTGGAGTTTCAAAGACAGAACTTTCAAAAATTAACCTTTTATTACATAAGGCTACATAAATAAAGGAAAACAGCAGAAAGTTAGAGATTCTACCTAAAAAGATATAAATATACTTAGAATTGCAAGTGAAAAGTATCAGTACAATTTGTGGTTTGGCATTTTATAGATCAGTAAATGGTTGATTGAGCAGACTTACATTTTTCATCAGGTTTCAGGCATCACCTAGACATAATCTTTTCCTACTATCTAATAATAATCTGTTCCAATATTGAGTAAAGTTGTATGATGATTGCGCAAAGGCTTGAAAGTCAAGAACTCATTGCCCTAATCTTATTCTGCCAGTACTTTGTATTTCGAATTTAGGCAAGGAACTTTATTTCAGTTTCCTTATCCAGAAGATAAGAAAAATAATCTTATCTATATATCTCCACAGGGACAATCTGAGTATCAATACTCTCAAAGGATGATAAATAATTTTGAATATACAATGTTTCAGTATATTGGAATATCAGTATTAACAAATAGGATTATCAACAAAAGGACTCTTCTCAAGCAAAATCTCCAATCTCTGAAAAATAATGACATGAGAACTACCAAACACAGTGAAGAAACTAATACTAATGATGTATGAGAAAATCGTACTTGTACATTTGTTTGGCTCTTCTTTAGAATGTCTTCTGTACTTTTAAAAACTCTAACTAAGGCTATCATAACTCCTGTCCCATTGCCTCAGAAATATGTTTAAGTATTTTACACCAGTAAATGAATAACATTAAATTGAGTTACATATTTCTTCTATTAGAACAGAATTAAAGATGCATATTTCGTTTATGTTGCATTTTGTTCTACAGCAAAATGGAGTCAGATTCTTGTATGAATAGTTTTGACAGAACATGTGACTGCTTTTAAATTATTATAAATTAAAATAATAAAATAAGTCATATGTGTAGAAGAATTTTATGTTCTTTACTGTTAATCCATTAAAAACAAAGAGAATAAAAACTATTTTGAAGCACTTAATTCAACTAATTGACCTCCAAGGGCACCTTTTACCCATTCATGTTACGTGTGTTGTGGACATTAGTCAGTGAGTTTAACTATTATGTCTATGTTTGACAATTCAAAAAGACATATTTTAAGAAGCTAACTGAAGACATATCTGATTGCTTATATGTCCTGAGGTCTCACGAGTAGGTTTGTAACTTGATCTTCTGATCAGCAGAAATGTAGTTATATTCCAAAATGATAAAAATAATTATTTACCCTCACACACAAAAAATAAACCATCTCTAACATATTATAGGGAAATTATGGGTCTGGGAATACATTTGTACATCTGGGAATACAGATACTTTGCACATTTTTATGACTAATTCCTGTGAAAATAAATCAGCCACTCTTATCAATGCCTGCTCCAAATTTTCCAGAATAGAATATCAGTTTTATTATTTATACATATATTTTAATAAGGTAGGAATCCAGTAATTAGAAATAGATAATTACAAAATTACATTATTTCCACATAATTTAATTCAAACTGTCTACCACCAATGCTTCACTGAAAATATTATTTTCAGTATCTCATACTGCAGAAGTAATCACTAAATAACAACTTGACTATGTTATCAGAATTCTGTAGAAAGTCTTTCACTGAATTACTATGTACTATGACAAGAGAACCTATGCATCTACTTTTCAAATCCAACCCTAATGAAATAATAGAAATATTTACATATATTTACTTAGTTACCATAATGCTTTGATCCAGAAGGATCTAATGCCTACATAAATTAGAAACTTATTCAGAATAAAATTTTAAATAAGTGGATAAAATAAATAGGAAAAATTGTAAAGGAAAGGATGATGACTCCAGAAATAAGAGTAATACATCTTGTGTAAGATATGCTTAGCTTCCATTCAATTTTGCTAGATTGGGGCCAAAGATCTGGTTCTCTATTGCTGGAAGCTAATAGTCATAAGGAAAGCACTTTCAGAGACATGGTACTTTAAAGTAAATATTAACAAACTATTGTTCAAACACACACTTACATATATAAACACATACATAAGCTCTCTGGTATTAAAATAAAGGGGAAAAATCTCACTTACATCCTCATAAAGAAAAGACAGCAAGACTAATAAGCTATATTATCATCAACATTTTTTTTCAGGTTCAAGCTTTTTATTATAAATATTAATCACTGTACTGTATTGAGATTAATAGCTCCAGATTCTGTTGAAATAAGAATGGACTGTTGAAAGTTATATTAAAAAGCTTCTTTGAGCAAATAATGTTACTTTTTTTTTCTTTTCAGATTCTATTTTACACGGTCCTCCGTTGTTCATCGATTTGCTCGAGCGGGCCCAGTAACGTCTCCATTGGAGACTTTGTTGTTACTGTGTTTGGCATATTGAATACATCACGGGTAGCTTGCCAGGCTCTGCCGTGCGGGCGAGATACTCTCGATAGCTTGCCGGGCTCTCCGAGAGGGGCGGAGGAATCGAACTCGGGTCGGCCATGTTGGCTGCGTGCAAGGCAAACGCCCTACAACTGTGCTATCGCTCCAGTCCAGATTCTATTTTATTTACTTATATTTTTAATTTTTATTAGTGGGACATCATGAGGTACAGTTGTAGACTTACAAATTTTTGTGCTTGGGTTTCAATTATACAATGATCAAATACCCATCCCTCCACCAGTGCCCATTTTCCACCACCACGGATCCCAGTATCCCTCCCATCCCCCATCCCCCATCCCACCCTTCCTTGTGGCAGGGCATTCCCTTTTGTTCTCTCTCTCTTATTGGGTGTTGTGGTTTGCAAAAAAGGCAATGGGTGACAATCATGTTTGGTCTATAGTCTATTTTCAGCATGCTTCTCCCATCCTGGGAGGATCCTCCCAACACCCTTTATTTGG